CACATAGTTGTAAATATTAGAAACTAGAAAAAGTTAAGAACTAAAATATATATCATTTACTTATAGACATATATATATACAATAGGGTTATATAATATATATTATAGTGATTAAAAGGCTTATTACAAAAATCAATACAACATAGGGTTTATTATACAGGTGAATGAATTATGCTAACTTTAATTGTTAATGTGAGAAACAAGCTTGAGGAGAGGCTCAGGGAAGCTTCTGAACAAAAAACAGTGTTTCATTACTATGACTATAAAAAGAAAACCTGAATAGTTTATCTCAAATGATTGACTTCTATATGACAAAGCCAACTGAGAAAATACTACTTTTTTATTTATTTAAATTAGAAACATGCATGCTTCAAATGTCAATCCCAGCTCCCTCTGCTTCTCCCTCCCAGCTCCACCCTCACCCCCCACCCCCAAGGCCAATCCCCACATCTTTCCCCAGGGAGGGTTAGGCCTGCCTTAGGGGGATCTCCAGAGTCTGTCATTTCATCCAGGGCAGAACTTAGGCACTTCCCCATGTGTCCTGGCTGAGAGAGCATCCCTCCATGTGGAATGGGCTCCAAAAATTCATTTTTATGCCATGGTGAACACTGATCTACTACCCAAGGACCCAGAGATCTCCGAGGGCTCCTCACTGACACTACATTCATGGAGTCTGGTTCAGTCCCCTGTTGGCCTCTCAGGCATCAGTCTGGGATTCAAGAGTTCCCCCTTGTCTGATCAGCTATCTTTGTGGGTTTCACCATCATGGTCTTGACCCCTTTGCTCATCACTCCTCCATCTCTGTCACTGGGTTCCTGCAGGTCAGTTCAGTGTTTAGCTGTATCTGTCTCTGCTTCCATCAGTTACTGGATGAAGGTTCTAGGATGTTATATAAGGAAGTCATCAACCTTATCATTAGGTAGGGGAAAATACTACTTTTTAGAAAAAACTTCTGTCTCTTACAGTCTTGTGTCCCCTGAGCCCTAGGTGTAGGGATTGTGGTATAGCTGTTCCCTGTGGGACTGAACACACCACAGTCTCTTAGTTTCTGCATTTGTTGTTCCTCTGTAGTGTTCTCTATAGTCATCCCCATCTGCTGCAAAGAGATGCTTCTCTGATGACAGGTGAGAACTGTGCTATCCCTGGGTAAAGGATGAGTATGTAGAATGAGGGGTGAGAACTGTGCTAACCTGTGGGTCAGGGATGAGTGTTTAGAACTCAGCGGGCTACTATATCAGATTAGCAAAATAGAAGTAGTAGGTTCTCCTCCATGGTCTGTGATCTCTCCAGTCAGGAGTGGTTGGCTATGTTTATAATCCCAGGCTTGAGTCCCCTTGTACTGAGTAGGTTTTGAGTCCAGGCAGACAGATGTTGGCTACCTCTACTCTGCAAGATATCAGTGCCAATATTGCTCCATTTGGACCTAACTTGCTAGGCATTCATTGTAGTTTGCAGGGTTTATAGCTCCGTAGAACTGCTGATAATTCTCCTCCTCCATAGCCTGACACTGAGAGATGGCCAGCAGAGAGGAGGCCTCCAGGTCAGTACCTGCTTGGTTTTCCAAGTCCTGTTGATTTACTGCATAGTAAAAATAAGTCAGATTAAATGTAATTGGAAACATCAAGGTGAATCACCAAATATTTTAAGTTAGCGGTATTTTATACCCTCATCTCAAATAGATAATTATGTTGGAAATTCTCATGTGCACATTGGAACTGCTGTGTTAGTGAATTAGCCTCTTCATCTCAAGCAACATGTCTACTTTGTTCAGGGATAAATTGCTTGTAAACATACAATTATGACTTTGAAAAATCCTAACAAAATAAAATGTTACATACTCCATATTCAAAGAGGTTTTGGGGAAATTGGAAATATCTGACAAGGGCGTGAAATGTCAGACAGAGAAAGGAAGAGAAGGGAGTAAGCAAAAATAGAATGTATTTCTTCTAAACTAACCTCTGTTCAAACCAAAGTAAGAAGATTATAAGACATTTAAAAATAGACAATATTCATTCATTTTACAAAAAAATATTCAAACCAGAAAAAGGTCATTGATCCCATCAAAACTTCTTATGTTAGCTCACACAACTTTTCTCATAAAAGGGACCAAAGAAAGGTATACTGGAAATGGCCAGCCGCCTAAGACAATGAGTCTTGAAGATCATCAAATTCAAGACTATCAAAGACACCGAGTGTGACTATGTAAATAATCCAAGTGAATATCAGTATATTAAGAGCCAAAGACTTAAGCATAGTCATTCGGTTTAATGTAGTTTTTAAAAGCTTTGAATCCCAAGTAACTTTTAAATACAAACTGGTCTTCTAAAAGTGGCCTCTAGTGCATAGACCACACTCTAAAGTAGTTGACCAACACAGCACCTGAAGTGGTATGGGGCTGGGGGAGGAGGTGAATACAATCAAAACCCATCTTATGACATTCTCAAATAATTAATAAAATGTTATTTTTATAAAATACTGATTGGGAAATACTTCCTTTAAGTGAATTTCCTCCTGATGCTGGAATGACTGGACTGAGAACGACTAGAGGTACTATGTCTATTGCCTTTGCAATGTTAATCCTGTTTCCAGGAAGTGGAAACAGTGGGGTGTTGGGTAGGGAGTCTATGAGGAAACGTTGACAGACAGAGTTGAGCAGTTTTCCTTTGGGAGAGTTTCAGATTCTCTCTATGAGTGATGTGGTGGTGGTGTGAATGAGAATGGCCTCCATACAGGCTCACATGTTTCAATGCTGGGTCCCCACTTGGTAGAACTCTTTGAGGATGATTAGGAGGTGTGGCCTTGTTGGAGGAGGGGTGTTCCTGGGCGAGGTGGGCATTGAGGTTTCAAGACTTCTTGAATTCCTCATGCTCCCTCTCACGGCCTCTTGCTTGTGGATCAAGACATGAGCTCTCAGCTGCTGCTCCAGCTGTTCCCAGCACCATGTCTTTTCTCTGCTACATTACAGCTTCTCTAACTCTCTGAAACTGTAAGCCAGCTACACACTTTCTTTTATAAGTTGCCTTGGTCATGGTGTCTTATCCCAGCAATAGAAAAATAACTAAGAAAACAGGTTTCCCGGGAGGATGAGATGCATACACAACCCTCTCCCATGGCATGTGACCACTGGATTCTAATCAGAGACAACATATTCAAACCTTCTGTTAAATATAAAACAATTTAGAGGTGTGTTGCTTTAGTTTGGAAGAAAAGGTTCAGTGACAAGATAGCAGGTAACATCGAGAATTGCGTATTTGAAAAAGAGGGATGAATACTTTGAACACCCATTAAATACCCAAAATTCAATCACTTATGTGATCCTCAAAGCAAATACATGAATTTCTCACAAATATTTTATAGATTGAAGCATTTGAAGCTCAAAAATTAAAACAAAGTCTCAGTAAGGGAAGGACACTGCTGCTTCCATTAACTGGACCTCTGGAATTCTGGGTAGAAAAAAAAACAGGAAATGAAAGACAGCAATGATTCCAGGCCATATATGTTTTATTTTCTGTCATTTCCTTTTCGTCATCTCACTCCCATCTCCAAAACAAGCTATCTGAAATCCCTGGAGAGCAGCAGAGAAATTCTAATACTGCAATTTGTGTCTTCAAAAAGGGGGGTGTTGCCACTCTGGAACAGTGACTATAATCAAATTTCTTGGAGGTTTTGCTTTCCTTTTTCTCAAATGAGTGGTTTGGAAACTAACTTTTGATGTTTTCCTGGCCTTCGTGGAGAAAAGCCCACGTAAGCACCGAGTCCCATCTTCACAGTATTTCTCCACCAGGACATGGCATCACATGATTCTCCGTTTAACTTCCTAAATGAGAACAACAAGTACTTTCATTGCAAGTTATATAGACAGAGGCTTATCTAACCACGGTGAAACTAGGCTGTTTCCATGCTTCAAACCCTGCACTCTTAATGTAACAGTCCGGAGGTTTCTACAGGCATGCATGAAATTATGTAGCAATGCTACCTGTACCGAAAAAAAATTATTTTTGTGATTGCACTTCACATTTTTCCAGAAGCAATCAGATTTGTACTATTGCCACAAATACCCTAATGTTCTAATGCCCAAGGCTCCTTTACCTGTACCTATGAAGTTTGTGTGTTCCTTCTTCAAAATAGCTCCCCCTGCTGTCCTTGGTAGCGTCCCTTCACCAGAGTTAAGGCACCTGACATCTCCCTGAAGCTTCACAGCTGGACTTAGGCGTGTAGAGCAAACAATTACGGGGGTGGGGGGGGGTGGATCGTCTGTTCTAAATGCTTCTTTCCCTCTCCCTAGCTGCTAGGTTAAGAGCCCAGACGAACACGGACACACACACACCACACACACACACAGAGCGATGGAGATAGATCACGCCCCCCCGATTCTCGCCACCCTGCTGCCCTGCCGCTGTGAGAATCGGGCTTTCTAGAGAAGCCCCTGTTCATAGCTGATCCCCGCTGAGCATGTGGAGTCACCAGGGTAGACTGTGCACACCCATCCAGAAGACGGCAGGGTACAAGTGAGCGGGTCTTTCCTGTTCGCGAGCAAAAGCAGGGTGACGAAGTCCCCAGAAAGAGAGAGAGCTCTGAGTCATGTGATTTATTTTACCCCAGACAACATGTAGCAGGGAAACCAAGCAGGGAATAAAAGCAACCTGTGTGAATAGCCTAGGCGCAGAGTTAGGGGAAACGCCGGGTTTGTGAGACCAGACAGAGCCCCGGGTTCAGGTGCGCAGAGTTCGCAGCCGCAGCAGATGCAGATCTCTAAGGACGTATTTGCACCTGTTGACGTCCTGTGAGGCTTTAAATGGGTTTGAAAATGGGGCTGGAGCAAACCCGGAGGAGACCAGAGAAGTTTGGGGCAGAGCGGGAAAGCGCCTAGTTCTGCGGAGGAATCTAAGAGTCTCGCTCCACCCCTGCAGCCAGGGAAGAGGACAAATCACAAACGACTGGGAGGGGTGGGGGTTAGGGGAGTAGGGACAGTCTCCAGCCACTAGGACATGAGAGGAGAGAGTCCTGACAGCCCAAGAGTGTGTTGTGAGCTCTGAGTGTTGGAAGGGAAACAGCAGGAGCTGGGACACGCACGCTTGAACATCCCACCCCAACTGCTCGCCCTGCGCTCCTGGGATTGCGCAGCCGAGAGACTGAAGGAAGGAAGGACAGTGCTGGAGTTTAGGGCACGGGTCTTTGGGTCCTCAGAGGCTGCGGGAAGGAAGCAGCCCAGGCGGGCCAGGGCTTTCCAGGCACTGCCCCGACAGCATGAGTTTCCCGCGAGGTCCCCACGATCGAGCGGTGAGCAACTCCAGCCCGTGGTGGCCTCTGAGCGCCGCCGAGGATGCCAACAGCAGCCGGGAGGCAGCGGGGCACCGGGAAGGCAGCGACCCTCCAGGGGATGTACGCAACGAGGAGCTGGCCAAGCTGGAGATCGCCGTGCTGGCGGTGATTTTCGTGGTGGCCTTGCTGGGCAATAGCAGTGTGCTGCTGGCGCTGCATCGCACGCCACGCAAGACGTCCCGCATGCACCTCTTCATCCGACACCTCAGCCTGGCCGACCTGGCGGTAGCCTTCTTCCAGGTGTTGCCACAGCTGTGCTGGGACATCACCTACCGCTTCCGCGGGCCCGACTGGCTGTGCCGCGTGGTGAAGCACCTGCAGGTGTTTGCCATGTTCGCGTCTGCCTACATGCTGGTGGTCATGACCGCCGATCGCTACATCGCTGTGTGCCACCCGCTCAAGACCCTGCAGCAGCCCGCGCGCCGCTCACGCCTCATGATAGCCGCCTCCTGGGTGCTGAGCTTCGTACTGAGCACGCCTCAGTACTTCATCTTCTCTATGATCGAAATCGAGGTGAACAACGGCACCAAAACCCAAGACTGCTGGGCTACCTTTATCCAGCCCTGGGGTACCCGCGCCTACGTGACCTGGATGACCAGTGGTGTCTTCCTGGTACCTGTGGTCATCCTAGGTACCTGCTATGGCTTCATCTGCTACCACATCTGGCGCAATGTCCGTGGGAAGACAGCGTCGCGTCAGAGCAAGGGCAGCAAGGGCTCTGGGGAAGCCAAGGCTCCCTTCCACAAGGGGCTTCTGGTCACGCCTTGTGTCAGCAGCGTAAAGACCATTTCCCGAGCCAAGATCCGTACGGTGAAGATGACTTTTGTGATCGTGACTGCCTATATCCTCTGCTGGGCGCCTTTCTTCATCGTCCAGATGTGGTCAGTCTGGGATGACAATTTCATCTGGACCGGTGAGTGTGAGAACATGGAGGTTGTGTGTGTGTGTGTGTGTGTGTGGTGTGTGGTATGTGTGTGTGTGTGAGAGAGAGAGAGAGAGAGAGAGAGAGAGAAAGAGAGAGAGAGATTTCATAGTACCTGCTCAATAATTAAGCTTCTACATGCATAAGAATTGATGTCTTACATGTCTACATCATGGAGGAAAAATGAGCAAAAATGCAAATTCCTGAGGCCTGCACCCCAGATACATTAGGGGCCAGGTGTCAGCATGTATGACCATCCTAACGCCATGCACTATGCCTACTAGTTGCAAAACAATAGTGACATTTTGCCAAATTACTTAGGCTTCTTGGATACCCCACCTTCAAGCCCATCAAGGCTCAGGGGATATTCTTAGTGTCAGGGTGGCTTTTTCTTGGATTTAGGAAACTATCATAATTAACAGAAAACTTCTAATGAAATTCCTCCAAGGTCAAGGATAGAGACAGACACACTTTTCTGGAAAAGGCTGGAAGAGGGTTCAAGAAGTCTAAACTGGCTTTAGTTCATTCATCCTTCCTCATTATAGTATCTTCATTTTTCTAACCATAACAACTTTCTTTTCCTGGTACTCCAGAGCAGGAGAGTTGATCACCTAAATTCATTGGATTCATTCATTAGTCTCTTTCAGCACTATTTGGCAACAGAACTCTTCACACCACACAAATCGCTCTATAGTTCACCGCGGAAGCTCCCCACCCCATAGGCCGGTTTCATTTTAGTTCCTTCACAAACCAGAAAAAGCCATCCGCCCAGAGGCTATTATTTCATTTTGTGTTTTATCACATATGGTCTTTTTATAAAAAAAGACATTTTCCAAACCAAGTGTGTTACAGAAGTGTTCCTGATGAAAACTCTGGTCAGGATAGAAACATTTGGGAGAAGCCATATCTTTTTGTAATTATAGGATTGAGGCATGGAATAAATGCAATGCATTTCGAGAGTATTATTTTTTAATGCTCATAAATTTCATTTAAATGAATACTTTTGTAGGCTATATTGCTAATAATGAGGAATAAAGCAAAGTCCTTTTCATTTACTTTTCCCTGCTTAGAAGCCTCTCAGAGTGCCAAGCAAGTTTTAAAATTCTATTGCTCATTGAAATTTGGACATAATTACTAAGGTCCTTGCTTGTGCCGTGCATATTGAGGATGTCTATTATTTTTAATACCATGCATGGCTTGTGGTCACCTGTGCAGTTCCTAGCACAAAGCAGTAAATGGTCTACAGCAGTGGTTCTCACCCTTCATAATACTGTGGCCCTTTGATACAGTTTCTCTTGCTGTGATGGTGCCCAACCATAACATTATTCTCAATGCTACTTTGTAATTGTAATTTTGCTACTTTTATGAATTGTAATGTAAATGTGTGGTATGCAGGATGGTCTTAGGTGACTCCTGTGAAGGGGTTCTTCAACCCCAAAGAGGTCAAAACCCACAGGTTGAGAACCACTGGTCTAAAGTTTATTTTGCCATGTTAAAAGGGAAATGACCTAAGTCTATATAGAAATCAGGAGCAATCTGGTGGTTGGTGGTTTGTCCTATGTTTTTTTTTTTAATGATCAGTGCAATAGTTTCATTTTGAAGAGTTGTGATAGTCATGTAGTTTACCAGGGGTAACTCATGGAATATTTTAAAGTCCTATTTGAATCTCTAATTCAGCTACTTGGGCCTTTGTTGCTGTCTGCTTTAATTATGTTATTTTGTTTTGTTTTTATTATTTGGAACAGGGTCACATAGAATCCAGATGTTTCTCTCATTATAAGTTGTTTAAGCTACAATCAAAGATGGTCTTTTAAAAATCAAACCAAATAACTAATGAGTCACAAACATTCAGTTAAAGCTAGCATTCTTTGGAGATTGGTTTTCACTACCCTCTTGTATAGAGTTTCCACTCACATCTGCTAAACACAGTCCATGTGGCATACTGTGCCTAAGTTATTAGCATGAATACAATTTGGTGTATGTGGTCATAAACACTTCAGATTTCTAGTCTGTATCTACCATGCCTGTTCACAAAGTCTCCCACCAATGTACGGAATACAGTTTTTTAAATAAATTATTCAATAGCTTCACCTTCTTGGAATTCCTATCCATTATATTGAACTGCTCTAACAGTAACTGCTGTAAACTATTTGCACTAACTTTTAGATGCTTTCTTTCACAACCAATTTCCAAAAAGCCCTCATTTCCCTGAAACACCAATGTTTCCCCAGCAAATAAAATGTTCATTTCTATACTAACATGCAACTTTTTAACTCATTAGTCAGAAGGAAAATAGCTCAATCCAGTGCGGTATGCGGGGTCTTGCTTTGGCTGTTTAAATAATCTCCCCACAATTCTCACACAGATTCAGAGAATCCTTCCATCACCATCACAGCCTTACTGGCCTCGCTGAACAGCTGCTGCAACCCATGGATATACATGTTTTTTAGTGGCCACCTCCTGCAAGACTGTGTCCACAGTTTCCCGTGCTGTCAGCACGTGGTGCAAAAGCTCGCCAAGGACGACTCGGACAGCATGAGCAGAGGACAGACTTCTCACTCTAACAACCGAAGCCCAACAAACAGCACAGGGACGTGGAAGGACTCACCTAAATCTTCCAGGTCCATTAAATTCATCCCGGTCTCCACCTGAGCTGCACAGCCCTGCAGTCTGACTCTCGGGGGAGGGGAGCTTTGTAATCCATTCTCTCTGAATCCAGCTAGAGATCATAAGAGCAGATGAGTTTATGTGAGATAGCCGCAAACCAGCTCAATACATAGTTTCTAGCTGTGTTTTCCTCATTGCTGTGACCAGAAGCTGAATTACTTTTGCATAGACTATTAATGAAAATGTGCTACACTGAAATGTGTAAGCCTGGTTTGTAACTGTACTGACTTTATATTCTGTGGTTGACGTTTTTGTTTGCTGTTGCTGTTGTATTTTTATTTCTGACGTAAGTGAGGCTTGATTGCTTCAAGTCATGTGATGTGCACTGTTTCTGAACAAAGTGAATTCATGATCTAAAGACCGGTGTTGCTGCTGCAATTTGTACATCATAGAATGTAACAGGAGGTGCAGGAGGCTTGGGTTGACAATGAAAAGGAGATGACTGGGTACCTGGAAGTTCTTCCTTCACAGTCCTGATGTTCTATTGACTTTGAGGAACATGCTTACTAAGAGGCCAAAGGTTTGACAATGTCAAGGACAGGCCAATAATTTGCGTAATGGATGCCACACTTTATAGAGGCCTAGAAGAGAACTACAGACATTCTCTTGGATAATTTACACATACATTGACCAGCATCATAAGGCATCCTGTACTAAGACAGATGTTAATACCACATATACCTACTTGGTGAATCTAGATTCATAGATTTTAACAAGTCTCCGAGAGTAACTCCAGACATAAGATGCTCACCAAAGGTTTGATTTAAAACATTTTACTAATTTTTCCCATTTCTAGTCCGTACAGCAGGTCCAGAACAAAAAGTCGGCGGAGATGTGGGGAAACAGGAGACAGAGAAGGAAAGGGCATCTAAGCCTTAGTCTGGGTTCCTTCATTCGACGTATGATTTGCAGCAAGATACTTAAAAGTACGTAAAACCTCCATTTTGGACTGTACAATGGGCTTGATAACACTCACCTCGAAGGGTCGTTGTGAGGATCAAATGAAATTAAATGTGTGGGTGTTTAAAAAAAAGTGCCATCGATCAGCAAGCTAGTTGTTTTCATTTTACTCTTGGGATCTTCAGAGCTACAGATTTTTTTTATTCCAGCTTATTTTTCACCCACTAGCATTTGTTTCGTGTCTGAGATGAGGACTTGAAGACTTAAATATAGATCTGCTGACTCACTGTAAAGTCAGCCACTACTGAGCCCGGCTCGCCCATATCAAAGAAGTCTTCCAGCACAGAGCTAGCACTCGCTCTCCATGCAGATAAGCCAACGCCAGTCAAGATCATCACATTCTTTCGTTTTTCATTTAAGAGAAATTACAACACTCCTTGGCTGTGGGCTTTGCATTTCTTTTTTTATCAATGAGATTCTGTTGTCGACTTAGTTCAAGATCAAGCAGTGGTTTGATGATGCATCACAGATATTTAGCAATCCTCAGAGTAATAGTTGCTTTTAATAGTGTTATCAGACTTTTTTTTAACCCTGTAGATAAGAGGCCATTGGCTGGATGGTACCACAGTAACCTGAATCACCAGCTTCACTCCTTTTCATTCTGTTGCATTTCCAAGTTCTCAGCCCTCGGAATCTCTGGGTTAATAGGTCAAAAACTGTTTCCAAACATTTGGGAGAGATTGTTCCCTTAGGTTTTAGAGTTCTTCTTCCTAAAATAAAATTGGGTTGAGACACGGAAAAGCACTTGCCTTTTAATCTGAAAAAAATAATCACACCAAGTAAAAAATTGTGTGTGTGTGTGTGTGAGAGAGAGTGTGTGTGTGTAAATCATAGTTCAACCTTTGCCATCAATGCCAACAACTATGTCTTTATTGTTTGAGTTATAACAGCATGACCATAAGCCTGTCTCCGTTAGATGGTCAGTCTATTTAACAATCAATGTCTCTTCAGTTATTCAAAAACTAAAGCTTGTAGATTAGAATAAACGAGGTCCTACCTTTTCTAAACCCATTTCCAAAACATTACAAAGCTTTTTGGCATGATTTCTGTTTCCAAATACCAGCATGTGCTTCCAAGTTAAACATTTTTCATCTTACCCCTTTTCTAGGAGTGTCTCTGAAGTGACATCAACCAACTCACCTGGGTTTTCTCCCCTTTCTATGGTAAAAAGTGTTGTGATAGATATTGCAGTCTGGATTTGCAGAAAATAGTTTTTATTGTATATGCTCATCATGGCATCCTGTTGCTACCTCCTTTTAAATGTGTTGAGAGATTAAGGAGTGATCTGGAAGCCTAAGAAGAAGCAGGGTACTGGGGTAACCCTCTATGGTTTAAGTAATCTAGCTAATACTAAACTTTCCAGATGTAGTGCATCCAGAGACAGCATGCATATAGCCCCAAGAAACAGTCTACATTAGAAGAGGCCATCTTTCTGTCTCAGAAGAAGGAAGCTGTAGGTTAAAGACAGGAAATGTTCTGGGATAGAAAACTTTCCTCTCCTTGACCAAAGGGCAGATCTGAAGAACTATTGTATGTTTAATGGAGTTTACAGTCCAGCAGAAGTATGTCATTTTTTTTTATTCTGTAGGTTATCTAAGGGAGGGTCTTGCAGATCTATAACATTAATGTGCTATGTGGGTATTAGATATATGCTAGATAGAGGTCTACTAGGAAGGGAAAGGTGGTTTCTTAAAACAGTTGATAAGTATCAACAAATGATGACAAGTAAGCATTTTACAGTACATATTCAATACCTAATGGAATTTTTAAAGTGTGAAACTAGTTAGTCATTTCTCCTTTATCTCCTCTGAAATATAACTGGACAGAAAATTGGCGAGCTGTATATTTGACCTAAATACACAGTTATTATCTTCATCAATAAAGATTTAGCACCTTCAGGTCTAAGAAAGTTTGGTTGAGACCAAGAAAGAAGAGAAACAAGTCATTTTAACAACTTGCTGGTCTATGCCAAGCTTATCACAGTTTCTAGAGCAGACAAGCACTTGTGATTTAAAACATTACAGCTTTATCTGTTATTTCATAACTAATGAAATGCAATTGGCTTCAAGCTTTATTCTTCTCAAGCTCTAAAAGCTAGAGTTTTAAACTCATTTCAGCACTGACAACTTACACACTTGTCTCCACCTAAAATATCATTAGGTATTATGTAGGGAGGAATTGAATATAATCTTTTACCACCCATATCCGAGATTAGGGTCCTATACACTTGCATAAATGGAGTCATACTGAGTAGCAGTTCTGTAAGAGACAGTCAAGGTAGATTGGGGACATCATGGAAGCCACTCCTTGAAGAAGCGAATCAGTCACGGTATCTAAGCCCTCCCCCTGCATGTGGACTTTCAATGCCAGCCGGTGCAAGGGTGGGGATGATGAGTAACACAGAATCAATCTTAGAGAAGGATTGCTGACTAGAGTTTGACTTCAGCCAGTTTGAGTGCATGACAGTTGTCCCAAGACCGCTCCAATGGGCTGAGTGGTAAGAGATGTGGTTCCATTTGTATATGGCACCAATGGATATTGCTACAACATCGTTTAGTTGTACTTCACTGTCACGAATCACAATGTACACTCGTGACCCCTGTTAGCATAAAACATGCATTGTTACAGGGTTTTATTTTAAATGCCATTTTTTGTACTTGCTGATAATCAAACCCAGGGATTGCCTCACATATTCAAGATCAGTACCTCACCACTAAATTTATTACCAGCCCCTTCTTTTCATAATTAATGTGTGAATATAGGCCTATATTGGTTTATGATTGAATAAAATAAAATCAGAATCTCATGCAATTAATTATTTTTAATATCCTATGATGAAATTAGCAAATACAGAAAAATAAGTTTATGTATAAATCTGACATCAGAATTGCTAGTAATCTGTAAAAATTAACATTTCTATGCACAAAAGTCATTATGTTTATATCACAAGATTCCCAAATTAAATATATTGCTGATCAACACTTTAAGTCAGTACTGTAAAAAGTTATGATGAACTAATATCTAGTGTTTAGCATCTATTTTTGGAATTATTTTTCTGTTTATTATTTATTTGTTTGTTGTTTATATTTATTTTATGTGTGAGTGTTCTGCATGCATACCTGCATGTCAGAAGAAGGCACCAGATCTCCTTACAGATAGCTGTGAGCCATCCGGTGGTTGCTTAAATTGAACTCAGGACCTCTGCAACAGCAACCAGTGTTCTTACCCACTAAGCCATCTCTCCAACCCCCTGGAATTATTTTTCAAATATATTGTGTCCTGCAATTTTTTATGCTGAATAGAACAATTTTAGCCTATTCTTCCTGGGTCTAATGTATGACTTCAGCTTCACATAGACATTGAAATATAGTAAGATTATATTTAATATTTGGTCTTCTATAGAAGAAGGCTTGTGGCAGAATATTATTAAATAACATAATATATATCACACATATGTTATTATATTGTTATATTGAAATAAATCGATTTTATTCTGCACTGGCATTTCTAGGAATAAAAGCAAGTTGCAGATCAGCTTGAAATATTTTATAACTCACTTTAATGATGAAATATATTTCATATTAATTCTGCTGATCTAGAAATAGGTTGAGGATGCAGCTAAGTGGTAGAATGCTTGCCCCCCCACCCATGTCAGGGTTCTGGGTTCAATTCCTACCACTGGGAAAAACTGTTCCATAGTCTGTAGTTGTTAATAGGTTTATATTTGAATACAAAAATGTTTATACTATTTGACCATGGCAAGAGTAAGTTAAACTTTGTAAGTACCTTTTTACTAAGTTATCATCAAGGAAATAAATAAGTGCTGTTCTAGTCTATATTAAGGCACTCACCATAAATTGTAGGTATCCAAGGTCACATCTGTTTTCCGGTCCTTAAAATGTCATTTATGCTCATTTATTTCTAAAAATAATCAAATTGGCTTTGGGGTCCCTAGTGATCAAAAACACTCTCTTCATAGTCTTTCCAGTAAGTGTTCTTTTCCCTGGGGGCTAATAGGTTCCAATCATATTAACTTCAAACCTATGTTGTCTAATGTTTTCTTCTTTATTTTATAAATTGAATCTTAACAGCATGGACTAAAAGCTAGTTTGGGGGTTGGCTTAAATTCTAGAGGCAGTGAATGCTCAGAAAGGAAGAAAGAGATTTTGAAATTTCTATTTAAAAATATTGCTGATGTGTGAAAGGTTTATCAAAAACTAGAATAATAATTACATAGCACACGAAGACTTGCACTGAAACAGGTCGACGCAGAAGCTGCTCTTCACTCTGTCTTTAACCCTTCTTGACCACGAGTTGTGTGTTTCTCCCATCTGCTCTCCGTTCCTCTTTGCACACTGCCCTAGTTTGCTGTGATAAAACCACCCTAGGGGAGAAAAG